CGTCATCAATATACAAGCGTGTCCTATCTCTCCATCACTTTGCTTTTGGTTTTCGTTAGTTTAATCTTATTTTAACTTTAAAAATTCTGTATTTTTTTATAGTTTCTACGGAAGCAGAAGAATAATTATTCTCCCGTATTACAGTAAATGTTTAAATGCGTTACGCTTTATTACATTTATGAAAAAGTGTAACACACTTAAAATTTATTGTAATACGGGAATATAATTATTCTACTACCACAGAAACAATTATAAATATGGGTTATAAAAATTCTGTATTTTTTTATAGTTTCTACGGAAGCAGAAGAATAATTATTCTCCCGTATTACAGTAAATGTTTAAATGCGTTAAACTTTATTACAGATGTGTAAAAGGTCGCTTAATTCTGATAAATAAAACATTTGAGATATTTAAATCCTGTAAGAATTTGTTGAAATATGATTGAAGTGCAAAATCATCAGTAAGAAAATTTAATATTTTCTAAACGAGTTGAACGATTGTTTCCTGTTTACTTAGAATTAAGTAGAATTTTCAAAAATACTCATATAATATTTTAAAATTTTAATAAATGCTAAATGGAAATTTAATTTGGGCTTCTTCATAAAAAATTATGTTCAAAATATATAAATTCTTGTTGATTTTTTTTTTAATTATTATTCTTACAGTATTGAAGTTATGTATACAGTACGTTTATTCGCAATGATTTGATCATTTCTTTATACTTTTAAACGATATTAATGACATTTTAAACANAAAACTGATTTTTGCATTAATGCGTTTATTGTTTTTTGAATATTTTGCCTGCGAAAATTACTTGGATATTATTTTTCTAAAAATATCGTGGAAATAAGGTAGGTTGATACAGAAACTATTTATCGTGCATGTACTGTATATGAGCTTCAAAATAAATAAATAAAAATAGATTTTATCAAACGGTGAGATCAGCCGATTAATTGTATCATGTACAATATTTTACACCCCCAAGGAAAATACTGTAGGTCTACGGTAAAATCAATTTCGTTTTCTCAGAGTTAAACTTCACCGCTAATTGCTGTTGTGATAACTTTAATATGATCTTCTAACAACAGCACTTTGCATTTCTTTTGTTTTTCAGACATTTTCCAACAAAATGAAATGAATTTCCTTTGTTGCGAGACTAATTTTTTAACACCTGCACCTAATTTCAAGGGTGGGAGAAGTGCCAAGGATGGGTTCAAACAAGCGTTTAGACTAATTCATTATATTAGGAGGGGGAAACGTTGTTGAAATGGGTTCTTACAATAGTTTAGACCAGATACATTCACGAAAGTGGTTGCTTATTACAGGTGTTGTATGTTGTTTTGGACCAAAAATCAATGCCCATGGTCGGATTACATAGGTGGTCATTTAATACAGGTAACTTATATGAAAACTGTGGATAAAACTATTCCATGCCAGAAATTTTTGCCAGTTTTGACAGGTGCCCATCGAATGCAGATGGTTGCCTAAGCAGTTTTCACTGTATGTGTGTATATACATACAGTGAATAGTACTGATACAGTACTGATTAGTAGAAATGATTAGTAGTGATAGTACATACAGTACTGATTAGTAGAAATCAACTCTAAACACTAACTGGATGAAACTGATTGTTAGAACCTGACCAACTGATTTTTGAATCAATATTGTTTGTGCAAAATAAAAAAATAATTTCGGACAATACGATACAACACAATAGCCACAATTATTTTTTTCAAAAACAGGAAATTTTCGTTAGGCATCGACAAAAATTTAACCCGGGGCGACACACAACAAAGAGAAATTTTAAAATTGGATAGGTTAATTTTAAGCTTAAATGTAAAATTTGATTATTTGAATGTTCTATTTTTGTAACACTTTATTTTAGGTTCTAAACTAGAAGGTGGCCTATAACAATAGGTTGTAAACATTTGTAAAAGCAGTTTAATAAACAATTTTCTTCAGCAAACATTAGGTGCTATAATACAATTGTTACATCTCTATGCTGAGTGCAAATTATATCCTACTGTAATATACTCTTTTTGCTTTTTGGTGTCAAAGACAAATTTATTTTCATTTCTTTAGCCTATTAATGTGATAGATTCCCTTAAAATAAACAAATGTACTGATCATAACAAATATGGTTTAATTAAATTATTTCATTTTTATTTTATTATTTAAAATGTACATACTTTTTACAAAGTAAAAAGCATTAAAACTGAAACACTGGGCAAATTTAAAAGAATTGGAACAAATATAAAACTTTATTTGGCTGATGGTCAACAGAATTGAAGGTTTTTTTTAAATAATAATATCTGAAGATGATAGTCTGTTTTAAAAATGTTAATCAAGGTTGTTTACAAAAAACTTTTAAATGTAGAGTTTATGACTAGTTGCAAAATAAATGTAAGCAAAACTTACAAAGTATCAGAACTCAATAATGAAAACAAATAAAATTCTTTAATTAAAACATAACAATAATCTAGTTTATTGGAACTTACTTGGATGACTCCAATAAAGCAGATTTTTTGTTATTCATATAGAGCATTGTATCAACAGACTGTATGAATTAGCAAATAATTATTTATTTGTATTTAACATTTAAATGAAAATTCCTTCACATTACAAATGAATAATATCAGATATTAAATAGCCTTTCATTACATACAAGTATTAAAATTATTCTTATTTATATTGTAGATAAATAGCTAAATAGACCATACATTTTTTTAATATTTTATCTTCATAACAATATACTAAATTGTTACTCACTAGTACTGATTAGTAGAAATCAACTCTAAACACTAACTGGATGAAACTGATTGTTAGAACCTGACCAACTGATTTTTGAATTAAAAATGTTTTGTTTTTTAGAAAATCCATGGAGATGAGACTTTCTATAACTAATAGAATGTTTTATGTATTTATCTTTTTTGAAAAAAAAAATGAGATGGCAATTTATTGAAAAAATAAAATCTTTTATTTGCAAATATTCCCTGGCATTAACAGATGTTAAACTTAAGAACAAAGTAAATTACAATAAGGTTTAAGTAAGTCTACTTGGATGAAAATACCATAAAATGTTATGCAACACTCTTTCAAGGAATGTATCACTTCCAATGCTTTATACTACTGCTGATAAAATCCAGAAATTCTTCAAATTAGTTAACTGATTTTCAAGAAAACTAGTTTTTAATATCAGATATAAAGCAGTTTCAGAACCACTTTAAATTTAGTAGAATTAATGTTTCATTATTGCATTTTATTAGTGCTTTAGTAAATATTAGCCAAGATTTATAAGCATACTTGTATCATGTATTATTCCAGCCAAAAAATAAAAATAAATGTTTCTTTCATGTTGTCAAAAGCTGGAATCTAAGTATTTAACAAATAGCATTTGAAAACTATTATTTTAAACTTAATTCATATTAGTTTTCTCATTAATTTTAATTTTAAAATGATATCATTCAGTGTACAAATTGTAATGTTATACTGAAAATTTTCTGGTAAATACATACTAATTATGTTAACATAAATTTGTCTCAAGTTGTTATTTAAAATGAAATCTGTTTGTGAGCCTGTAAAAATTAGGTGAGTTTTACAAGGAGACCCTACGGCTTTGGAGAAACGTATTTTGTTGATCTTTGGTGTAGAGATAGTACACCATGTGAGTGTACTACCTGTAAAATACTAAAGTGCAATACTCAAATATAATCGAGAAAAACGAACTTTTTCGAACTGTATTGAAGCAGTGGCTAATAGACAGTAGTGTATTATGAGAGTTTACTTTCCGAAAATAATTTAATTGCAGCATTAAAAATTTTTTTCATTTAACACATCCAATGTATTTTTGTATAATTATGTGCCTATCAGAATAGCATTTTCAGATAGTGTATCAGAAGATGTTGTTGCAATTAAATTATTTTTGTAAAGTAAACTCTCATAATACGCTACTCCATCTTTTAGCCACTGCTTCGATACATCACTGTATAAAGAGTTATCATCAACAGTTTTTTCATTACAACGTGAAGAACTTGCTTCTCTTGATGACATTATTTTAATTATAAATTAATTTTTCAAAATAAATTTCACTGCACAAATATGTCTATTCGTGTTGAAATTCAGAAACGAACTGTTAAAGAGTGAGTGAAAAAGAACTCCGATAGAAAAAACGCTCCTAGTGAGAATTAGATCGGAGGTCACAATTAGATGGGAAAGTTGACACATAGGTATCAAGAATGCACCATTATTGTTAACAAAAGTAAAAATATTAGACTTGGAATAGTAGAAATTAAATTAAAATAAATGAATGAGTAAATAAATAAATACATTATAAGTATTTATGAATAAAAAAAAGGAAAAAAGTATACACAAGAGAATCAAACCCGAGCACTCAAAAGTACGAGTCAGGATCGTTGCCACTCAGCCACAGGACGCTCAAGAGGAAGCACGCATAACTTGTATATAAAGTGCTAAAAAAAACTTTAAGTTCATTTTTCTCGATTAAATTTGAGTATTGCACTTTAGTATTTTACAGGTATACTACACTAACATGGTGTACTACCTCTACATCAAAAATCATCAAAATCTGTTTCCCCAAAGCCGTAGGGTCTCCTTGTTAGATTCAATGATGCTCTTTATTTGAATAAATACAATACATTAAGTCAATCTATTTTTCATGAGTAAATTGAAAATTGCTCAAGCATTCTTATAAAGGCAGATTTGTTGGCTATCATCTAAAACTTATAGAAGAATTTTTACATAAAAAAATTTAGCTATTGGCAAAATGAATATAATGTCAATAATAAAAATACTTTAATTGCTTTGTATTAAACTTTAAAAAAATTCTATCCTGAAATATGTTTGTTTATATATATGAAACAAGAATGTGTGTTTAAAAAAATTTATCTAAAGGAAATTAATTATTATTATTATTAATATTTTAAGAAAAAATATTCTAGATTACATCTGAAATATCATTATATATAATAAATATAACTTACTTTTTCTGAAATTTTGCACCACTGGTTATACTGATATTGTATAAAATCTTTTAACATAAGAAAAAGTTGTTGATATTTGATTAATGCATCTTCTTCCATATCTGACTTTGATAACCAATTTGCTTCTTTCAATTCCTGAAATCAAACATCAAAACAATTGAAACCTCTGAATTAACTTTATGCAATAATAATTAAAATAAATAATCATATAATGCTGAAAATAAACAATTTTATTAGGAAATTTTATCATTTAATTACATATTCCATTTTATCAAGAATTTTCAATAAAATGATACTTACTATTTCTATCTTTATGTATAATAAATTATAATAAGAAAGCTATAATATTAAAAGTCAATTTGCACTTAGACAAATGATTATAATTTTTTCGTCTTCTTTATCTTGTTTCAGAAAAATTAATTCATACATGCAAAAGTCATCTTTAAGGAAACACTACTAGTTTTAGATTTTGTTCCATTAAGGGTGGACTGTGAGCCTAAAAACATTTGTGATTATATTTGTTAAAAAGTCTTTTATATTTAAGGTCTGAAGCAGTACGGTTGTGTCTATTTGAGCTGTCTACTTTTGAACATAAAAATACATAAGGATATTTCAATACACGTATTGAAACACAGAAATAAGAATATTTTCGATTTTTATTTTTATACAAAATATTTTTGTAGTTGAATATAGTAATTACAGATATATTTTTCAAATCAAATCAAAGTTTATTTAGCGTATAAGGCTTTCGCCTGTTACAAGGATGAGATTTATTAATACAACATATTCTTCCGCCACCATTAGAACCTTCTTCATATAGATATTTAACATTAGTTATCTAACATGTAGTACATACATTTACTAATTTACTCTACGTTTTTATTCACAAGTTGCTTCGCATAGTTATATAACTTAAAGATAGTATTGATGTTTGCTTTGTCAAGGAACTTGTACATATCTGTTTCATTAGAGCAGTTAACTAATCGACCAATATCAGAATTTGAATATTCTCATTTCCGTTGCAATCTTCACAAAGAATATGAAATTTTGATAATGTCTTACTACAACTTGGGCATTTGGATTGAGAGTAGTCTAAGAATTTATCATTAATAATTATCCCGTTTTTGTTTAGTCTTAACTATATAAAGAATTTTTTTAACATTAAACGCAAGATTTGTCAGCATATAACTATTATTTAATGGGTAATTTAAAATTATTTTATACCAGCTTGTATTATTTCGTTTCTGTATGTCTTTGATATCTTGGACAATAGAGTTTTCCATTATTCTATGTATTAATAAATTATTTTGCTGTTCATTGATATATGATTGATCCATAAATAGTCTCATCAAACATCCGTATGTGTTAAATATCTTCGATAGTTGTACTATCCAATTTTGTTTTAAATCTGTGATCTTTGATGTTTGATATAATACATTCAGTAATTTTGTTGTTAAATCTTCAGAATTTATAATTTTTTGTAGAAATTTTATATACCTTTTTATTAATATGGTGTTTAATTTATATGTACTTAGTTCCATTCTTAGAATGCTGCCAGGAATATTGTATTCTAATTGGAAAATTCTACAAATAAAAGTATTTTGTATTTTTTCAAAATCATTGAATTTACCTGTAGACCAGATTAAAGATGCGTAACACATCGACTTAATGATAATTGAATTAAAGAGTTAAAAATGTATTCCCAAATTCTTCCTTTTAGCTTTACAGAATAACACTATCATATTATTTATTAAATTTTTGCCTTTGTTATTGAGCTTTTATAGTGTTTATCAAATAATAAGTTAGGCATGAATGTTATTCCCAAGAATTTAACTTTACTAACAGCTGAATGGGACCAAGCAAGACTACTGCAGGTAGTTCGAGAATGTAAACACCGGCATTATGTGGAAGCCTGGCAGATTTGTAAAGCAAACCATAAAGGCCTTGCAATCAACTTTCGAGTACCGACAAAAATATCAGCAGCATGGTCCTCAAGCTTAATATAAAGCCTTAATAATCGAAGGAAGCAGATACTATGCATCCTTATATTCTAAGCTATGTATTTATGTGCGATGATCGGAGGTGGTAACTTTCTATACTTATGATTTTTGGATATTTATATAATCTTTAGGATTGTTTATACTTCCGTTGCAAGGTTAAAACTGATGTCATTAATTGCAACGGATTATAGGCTAGTTCAAAAACATTTGAAAAGCTTGTTCGTTTGTACTAAGCGTTCAATTTTTACAGTTTTTATCTTTTATTTGCTTTTTCTTGAGAAAGGTCATTTAACATGACCGAAAACGTGTGAAGTAATAAACTTCGGCTGCAAGCTAAGATGTATTAGTAAGTTTTGTTTGTTATTTAAGGTCATGATATGAAACTTTATTGATTACACCAGAACAGTGGCATGCCGTGACATTTGATGATAGGGAAGCTGTGTTTCCTGTAAGAAGCCAACTTCAAGAGGCAATCAGCTAATTCTTTAAATGTATTTTTAATAGATTTATCTGACATAATTAATAAATAGTTATTAATAATTATTAATAAAGTTCAATATAATTACCTCTGTTATTAGATTCAATAGATTCCCTATGCCCTCTAAATGCCAATTCTTGCTTTGATAAAAACATATAACATCTATTAATTTAAATATATCTATTAGCCGTAACTATCTTGTTATAATTTTCAATATTTATTTTATATTATTTACTAATGTTAAATTCTATTCCACTTTGATTTCCAAATTGCTTCAAATACAAAAGAATCGATGATTTTTCGTGTCTTTGCCAGCTAAATTGTCAAAGCCATTCTTATTCCACACACTAATTTCATTTGAAAATGGTAGGCAAGCCAACAAAACAATTTTTGCATTTTTATGCATATCCATCTTATCGTGAAAATGTCAAACAAATTTTTTATTGAAGTGTTTATATTTAACTTAGGCATTGGCCTCTCTCTTTTAATAATGTTTTCTTTTTCATTATATGATCTTGAGCCAAAACTTTTTTAAAATAAATTTTCAATATCGCAATAACATTCTGAATCGCTAGCCACGATATAAGTGCTAAAATTAGAAATAAAATTATAAAAACTTACGTGGTGAAATAAAATGTGTGGTGGATATACATACCTGGTACAAAATATTCTTCAATTGTATGAATATACTTTTAAAGAAAATTATAATTAAATATAGCTTTGAAAAGAAACGTACATAAAAATAACATAAAATCTTCTTTACTTTTTAAATCTTAACCGCTTAGTCAAATAGCTCCCTACAAGTGGAATCAGAGACGGTCCTGCTAGGTGTGTGGTGCGTGCGTGCACGCAGGCAGCCAAATCCCGAGGGTGCCGATACCGGTTAATGTCAAATGCCTCTTTTGTTGCATCACTAGTATATCTCAAAGGATGCGACAGGGTTGTTGTAAATTTTAAACATTTCTCACCATAGCTGTAAAAATCTAAATATGTTAAACTTAATAGTCATTTGTTTTCTAATTCATTTTAGGACCAAGTATCCTCAGAAATTTCCAAAATTTACAACTTTTTGGTCACTCTCATTGAACTGGAACAGTTTCTGTCTTTATTACATTAACAATATGAAGAAATCTGTCTCCACTGTACTCGGCTAGAGCTGGTTCGGTTAAGTTTTTAAGTAAAATTCCATCTCTTTCAGCAGGGTTTTATTTATGTCCCCAATTCCCTAATCGCTTAATTATTTAACTACTTCTTAAGTAGAAATAAGTCGAAACCGGTTACTTTGAACTCGAATATTTATAGTCGCGGGAAAAAAGTGGAATGAAAAATTTTTATGACAACGGATACATAAATCGTAAATGTTAGGAAAATAAATTCTAGAGCTTTTTCTGTACCTCATGCATCTCTCTCATTCATTAAATTTAGTTGTAAATGATGCTGTCAAAGTAACAGTTAATTTTTTAACATTATACAAGAATTGTACACGTTTTTTTCTACATCCCCTTACAGATGGGATATACGAAATCGTAATATCACTGGTTTAACATTAAAATCCATAAATAATATAAAATTGGAGAGCGGAATTAAAATAACATATTTTAATGGGTTTTTTTTAACTCCTGTCAACTATACAGAACTATCATAAAAACATACCAGTAAATTCTTATCGGTTGAACTAAGTTATAAATCTACTCATGATTCACATAATTTGGTGAGGGCGGCCAAATACCTAGCAGGCAGGCGGCTAACAGCTCAGAACTGGTTCTGGATAGAATTGGATGCGGTATACCTGCAGTATCCATCCAAGGCTTCCACCAGATAAACTGGGTAATGTTGGTGCTCTGTAAAGCACATGTGTGAATCTGGCTTTTTGGATGCTGACAATACAGCGCTTCCACTCCGCCACTAATATTCGAATATACAATAGCGATCTTATCTTTTTTTTCATGTGTAGTATAGAAATTTGTAATAAGATACATAATGCGGTTATAATAAAATATTGTGCAATTATTTTCATATAATTAAAATTAATATGTATTTATATTTTAGAAAATTCAAGGGAAGTGGCGTATCCATCGCTTCCAATAACGGCACACCACTGCACCAGAACAAACTAATGTACTGTATGTATGTATGTATGTATGTATGTATGTATGTATGTATGTATGTATGACTCAAAGTGTTGATTGTATAATCAAAAATCATAATATATGGTAACAGACAATGAAGGACACTTTTATTAATAAAAATATCTATTATGAAACAAACTGGCAAGTTTTTAACAATTACTGTAATTTTGTATGGCTAATTTACAATGGCATATACTCCACACAAAATTGCAAGAATGAAAATAAAACCTTCACATAACCTGCCATATTGTATCCCATGCTTCTGAGGCAGCCATTGAAAGCAAGATAATTACCGATATGTAGTTTAGAAGTTACAATCTCAAGACTAAAATATTGCTTTTTCTGTTTTATTTCTGTTAACTGATCACTTCAGATACACATAAATAACCAAGCCTAAATATGCTGTAATAATCATGTTAATTTCCAGATTATTTCATCAGAATTGTACATTTCTGTGCAACCATTTTTGCATAGTTATTTTGGCATAAGGAAAACTCTCTCCTTAAATTTGTTATTATTATTTCACATTAACGTTACTTAATTCAATTTTATTGTAAAAGTGATGTGTAATAATGAATTATTCTGACACATTTATAGACAATGCTATTTATTAACAATTATCTGCCATATTTTGCAAATTAAAGTTTTTAATTAGTTATATTTTTTCTAATTAACAATTTCATCTTTTTAGAATCATTGAATTATTAAGATTTAAAATAAAAAGTTTTATTATATAAAAATAATTTATCTTGTTATATCAAATAACAAGATAAACAGGAATTAATAAAATAAATCCTATAATTAAATTAATCAAAATAATAATTAACAAAATCAAAACTAAAGATGACATTACCTTTTTGATTTATTTTTTGAAACTCTAACTTAGAAACCTATTTTACATTAATAAAACTAACATTTGTATAAAATTTAGCAAAAACAATAGTCTAGTGCAATAACGTAAACACACAAGTGCATGCCTATGTATTGCCTTCATTAATTCACATTTAAAGACGCTTTACATAGTATGATATAATACTTAGCCTTAACAAGGAAATGGCTACAGAGAAATCTTTCTGAAAATGGAGAAATTCATCTCTGCACTCACTGGCAATTCCCATAATTCAATTGCAGGTATTTATAAACTATCCCATTATGTAAATCTATATATATATAAATGGACATGTATGTCCCTATGTTTCACTTTTCCGCCAAAACTACACATCGCATGTGAATGGTGTTTGTATGTGGTATTAGCCCCAAGTCTCCATTCGTGCACCAGGGGGGTTGCGTCTCGATAGCTATAAGGGAGATATGAAGCTGAAAGTGGTTGAAAGTGGCTTTCTATTTCAAATGTTTTGTTCGAATTTGTTCGAATTTAATTCAAACATAAAATTCGAATATTCGTTCGATTATAGAATGATTGTAAACGTTCCAGAAACATTGAAAATAGTTCGTTTGACTTGACGTGAACAGGAGACATTCAGAAATAGAATCGGGACCAGGTCTCTAATTAGTCTGGAAACGGGGGACCTAATTCTTGCATTCTGTGAAAACGGGTATAATTGGCTATAATGTAATTATCTTAATCTTCACTATCGTTACTTTTTGCCCACAAATAAAAACCCAGCGAAGCAGGTCCTTGCAGCTAGATTCTAGATTAATTAACGCACGTTCGTAAAGTCGAACGAGTTAAACGAGAATGATGTCATCGTTATTCTTATTTCGTTAGACTTTTCGAATGATTCATTTAGAACTAAATGGCTGTTTCTAAAATCAAAGATACGAATGTTGCTAGTACAGCCTTATCCGAAATATTTTTCTTAGATTGCTTCAGGTAGACATTTACTTCAATCATTTCATCTTTTAATTCACAATTTAAACACTCGAGTAGATTTAGAAACATTGATATCGTCGGGCGCCATTTTCTTAACGAAGTGAACTAACTCTTTCCTTCGTGAACTTCGTTAGAGTTTCGTTCGAAACGTCATCACCGCAGAGCATGCGCACTGAGCGAGGCTACTACTATTCGAACGATTCGTTACTAACGCGTTTAACTCGTTTGACTTTACGAACGTACCCTTAGAAAAACAGTCTTTTATATATAAAAAACAAAAACTATATTACATACAAATGTACGAACAAATAAAAACCCAGCGAAGCGGGTCCTTGCAGCTAGTTAAGTATAAAAATAAATAAATACAATTTATAATTTTATTTTATGATTAATTTCCTTTTTACAGTAATAATAATAAAATAAACTCAAAAAAAATTAAATATAAAATAATTATAAAGTGAATCAATTTTAATTTGTGATTAGAATTTAGCAACCTCTCAGCATAAAATCCAAATGTAACTTATCTCATTGTATAGCCTATATCCTCTCTCAAATTAGCTTTCCTCTGAATAAGCCTCAGATTGTCCACATAAAATTACAGTATATTTATTATATTTCTCATAACAGAATTAAAGATTTTAAAACTTACAAGTTTAAAAAAATATTTTTTCATTTCTATTATTTGAAATAATGATTGCAAATTCATATTGAAAAGTAAGATTGACCAAAATACCAAAATTATGCATAACTACTATTTATTACCTGCATAGGAATTTGAATTCTTTGTAAAAGTAAGTATGCCCAATGAGCCATTCCACTATATTTTGGAGCAAGTGGATGCAAAAAGACTTTTTTATTTAATAAATCAAGTTTTACTGCATCAAGTTCTTTGTTGAAGAGTATATATATCTGTGAAACAAATTTATTAATGCCTCGTGAAACTTCCTAAAAAAATAAATGATATGATTAACATTAATCATATTTGAACATTTATAAGTCTTTAATATTTAAAAAAGTAATAAGTATATAAATTAAAGAAATCAATATATTTCAAATTATGAAAAATAATCAATACACAAAATTTTAAAAACTACATAATGATAAACAGTGTATTACACTTATTCATAGTATGAAAATAAACAAATACATCATTGTTAAGATACTGTTGACTATAAAACCTCTATACATAAAAACATCATAATAATTGATATTATTATAATAAAATATTGTGATAGACAATATCATATGAAAGCATATTGCTATTATAAAATATTATTTTATGAATATGTCTGATGCCTTAACATTAAAAAATAAAGTAAATCTTCTCACCCTACTATCAAGTTTTATACAATTTATATCAGGTTCAAGCCCTTACAATACCAATGTAAAAGGTGTACTTCTATGGTGCATGAAAAAAATTAATTGATAGACTCAAAAATTAAATAATTTTTTGTAAATAGTCTGAACTACTAATTTNTTATTAACCATATATTATTAAAAATGCATTAATAAATAAAATACAGAACCGGGAATGGTAATTTATGGTTTAGCCTAGTGACAAGTAGATTCGGAGACAAGTAAATTCGACTTACGTCGTTTTTTGACTTACGTCGTTCTCCTGGAACCAATTACTGACGTAAGGCGAGGTATACCTGTAGTACCAAATCTTCAGTGCGATATTATTATTATCCAAAATTAAATTAGAAAATTTGAAAATCTGCAATCTCAGTTTACAAGAAAATTTTACTAATTCTATTCACCAATATTTAAAATCAGGAAGTTTGTGTTCAAAGATTTTGAGCTGGTAGATTTTGAACTTTAATTTTTATACTCATCAACACAATCTAATTAATCTAAATTACAAAATCATTGAGTTGAAGGAAAGAGCTATGTTACAAGTTCTCCAATTTGTCTGAAAGTGTCCTGATATGTCTGAAAAAATTGTCATATACAAACTAAATATGATTTTGAAGTTCATTAGATAATGTATTCTAATGATAAAACAATCATATATAAACATGTCTAAGCTTAATAGTTATATTTTTTCCCATACTAATAAATACTATTTTCCATTTTCCATGGTGGGATACGTATTGTTTGTTTGTAATTCTTTCATGTGGTATGTATGTGGCAAGATGTTTGTAACATCTTACCATATACATTACACAAAAGTTTCGAAACATTAGGGTTTCATAACAGCACACACAATCTACATACTAAACACATGTAACAGGAAATTCTTAAACACAGATATATATATATTATATATATAAATAACATGCAAACAAAACATTTCTTTTCTGTAGTAATGCCTTTATTTTGGTCCAGAATAGTGCTAGGCACTGATATACATGCTGTGTTGGATATGCTCCAAAACAACACCACATAATAACAACAATATGGTTATAATATCAGACACAACTAAACAACACTGTTTACATTATCATACCTCCTATATGTGGACGATATCAAACTTTACACCACACAGAATCAGCTTCTTCATCTCTTACAAACTACACACACACACACACACACTTATATGATATATAAATGAAATTTGGTCTAGACAAATGCAAAAATACTCCACATTGAAAAAGGAATTCTAAAGAAAAAAGAATCTGTATTCAGAAATGGAGATATTATCAAGTCCATGGAAGAGTGCAAGTTTTACAAATATTTAGAATTTCAACAAGACAAACTTACAGAACATGCATAGATAAAACAAAGATTAACACTTGATTACTAGAACAGGTTACATGCAGTACTAAGAACACACCTAAATGCAAAACATGCTATCAAAGCAATTAATATATATGTTGTCCCTGTGCTCACTTATTCTTTTACAGTCTTTTGGAGTCCTTGTACTCACTAAACATGCACTTATTGTCTTTATACAATAATTACATAACATTACAAAAGTTAAAATATACTTCAATAAAAAAAAATGCTTACCTCTCTGGCAGAAATACTTGAAAATGCTTGTAAAATTTCTAAACCATGACTAACTGTTTTCACTAAATCAAAACCTTGTGCAATAACATTTAAAACACTTCTTTCTAACTCTTGAATACTATTCCTGAAACTTAAAGTTTTAAGAATTTCTTTAATAAATTTGTATAAACTTTAATATTACTATTTTAATACAGTAAAACCTTATTATTTCAATATCAAATAATTCAAAGTAGCACGTATTTCAAAGTCAAGTCTAGTGCCCAGCCAAGAGAATAGGATTTTGCATATACAGTAAAATTTCTCTAACTTGAAGCTCCAAGAGTCAAGAAAAAATTTTGAGTTACTATTGATTTGAGCTAGAGAACAATAGTAAACAAAAAATGCCAATCTGAATAGTTTTATATTTTACTTCTCTTGCATTACATGAAGAATTTTTGATAGTTTTTTTGTTTTAAACAGTCCATGTAACATCTTTCAGCATAATGTTCAATGTAACTAATGAAATCAATCTTGCAGGTACATTTTGGATAGAATAAATATTAAAATTTGAGTTAGGGAAGTTGAAAGTAACATAAATAAATATCAGAAAATGATGAAAATCTTTGACTTGGAAAAAATTACTCGACTTTTTTTATATATTTTTTTAAATAAAAAAAAACAATTTGGAACTTGACTAATAATCTTTTATAAAATATCAATCAAATTAATTATTAAAAATTTCTTAACAATAATGGTCATTTTAAATTTTTTTATGTTAATGAATGGCATTCTTCAAATCTGAATCAACAGAAAAAAATTTTTGATCTGTATTTTTGAAAATCTTATATATTATTTGTGGGAAGGCAATTAGCTATATGGTCATAAAAAATAAACAAAAAATATTGGAAAGCATTATTTTTGAAGACTGGAAAAAACAAAATAAAGCATATTTGAGAGTTTTTCAAAATTATTAAACAAATCAAAATTTATATTTATTTTTACAATAAATTAACATTTATAGAACACTTCAAAATAAAAATACAGTAAGACCCCGCTAACACTGCCGCGATTAATGCTGATTTGATATAACACAGTTTGCTCAAAGCCTTAAAAAAAGCACATAATTTACACTGTTTCAAATTATTGTGATATTTCATTGATTCATATATAATACAATTATTCCCAAACACGAACCAATCAGCAAAAGACGGCAATTTGTCATAGTGCTGGACTTTCCTTACATCTATGTTTGTTTGGTGCAATTTTGGAAAAAAATATATCATCATGGATGATATTGGAAATATCGACTTTGCTTGGCAAGAATTAACTGATAAATGCATGAACGAAGTGTGGAAGAAGTTATGGATGAAGGTATTCAAGAATTCTCAATGAGAAGAGCCTATTGCTGTATTGTTATGTTGACCAAACTCAACCTGAGGCTACACACCATATTTTAAACCATATGATTTGTATATATATCTTCACTTTACCTTCGTCTGTCCTATTTGTTTACTCTTCTATAATGTTATCGTCTTCCCATTGACTTGAGTGTGTGGGTGGACTGAGAGGAAAGGAATGAATGGAAGGCTTTTGCGAGGGGATATGAGTGGACTAAGGTAAGAGGAGGAACCAGGAGGAGTTAAGAAGGGGGAGAACGAAGGGAGTTAAGGGAGAGGAGAAATGACGGCAGACGGGAAGTGAGACTAAAAGTGAGAGGAGAAGGGAAAGGATGGGAGACTGAGAGGAAGGAAGTGGAAAGGGGAGATCGAAAGGAAAGCCTCCCCTGTAAGTTTGATTGTATGGTGAGAAAAGAAAGAGAGGACTTTAGAACAAGAGAAAGAAAAAGGAACTTAATTGAGAGGAACCAGACGGATCGCCCCTTTTGGATTAATATCTCAGTGTGAAACAAGAATTAAGTGAATCAGCCCCCCAGACCGACGAGAAGCCTCATCCACGAGCCCACACAATTCAACCTGCATCATCAAGTTTTGGGTACCCTCTTTCCTTATTCTTCTCTTTCACCTTCTAAATCTTCGAATAAGCTGGCTATATTCAATTAGTTTAAGTAGTAATAGGAACCTAGTATTAAGTAAGACAATTTTAGTTAATCGGATGTTCGGTTCGGAAAAAGGGACAACTAGAATTGTTGGTATCCTATGAAATCTGTATTTGAACTAGCGAGTAAATAAATAATTGTGTTTTATTTTATCTGATCTGGAGTGTGCATCTTTATATGACTTGCAGATTTCACAAACCTAATCGATATAGCAGGACTAGGAGATGTAGACAAGCAGGATATTGAGGAGTTACCGCAGGTTTCTGGTGAGAGACTTACTAACAATAACCTTTGAAAACTAGCAGAACATGGAATTCACATGGAACTGGAAAACAGAGATTCTGAAAATGAAGAACCCAAAAAATTTCTCTACAGATTCCCTTAGTAAAAGTTTGGTAATGATAACTGAAATCGTTGATCAAATTGTAGCGAATGATCCAGATTTTGAAAGAAGTGCATAAGCAAAATGAGGCGTTTTGGATACAATCTTCTGCTATCAACATTTGCCTAAGAAAACAAAAAAGCGACAAATGAAACTTAAAGACTTTATTACAAAAGAACAAGAATTTCAGAAAAGCCAGGACCTTTGTCACAAAAAATGAACTTTACATTTCTGTGTGCATATGTTTATGTGTTATTTAATATATATTATTATACAAATTAATATAAAAATAACTTAAAATTAAAGTAAAATCTATTTATTTTTGGTTTCATGATCCCCTTTCCCTATTTACTCTGTGTTAAGATGACCTCGTTTAATTAATTAATGTTGTTTCATTTAGTGCTTTATCGTCTAGGAACATGGTCTTACTGTATCTTGTAAATCATATTTTTTATTAAATCAAATATAACAAATTAGTAATTTAGTTAAATCTAATCTCTGAATATTCCTTGATTATTATTTACTGAATTTGGAAAACATCTTTAATACCAAGGAATAAATATTTAAAATCCGTTTACAATTTCCATCAAAAATTAAGTTAGCATGATTAATAAAACATATTTAACCAAATTGTTTAAAGTGTTAATACAAAAGTTAACACAAAATGAGCAATTATTTATTCTGACATCACAATGTCAGGCTGCAATTTTTAATCATATTTTTCTAATTTATTTAATTTAAAATATATGCTTTCCACCTCAAATTAGTAGTTCCCTGTCCCTGTACATAATACTTTTCCTGTTAACAATAAAATCATGCCATCATCTATCTAACTCCTTACAGGAAAAAATTTTTGAATTGAAATAGCGTGACTTCCAGTTTGCATTGAAAATTCATATAGTTAATCGTGGCCTCCTGCCTCTAAGCTTCTGTATCTGGTTTCAGCTTTATCTATCTAACTCAATTCTCAAGAATAAAGAAAGACAGACAGACAATGGTGGGAATTTATAAGTCTACAATTATTTCTAATTGTATCCCAATAATACTAACAGCATCCAAAATATGTTGTTGAAGTATTGTGACATTATCCAGAAAATGTTAATATATTAATATAATTCCAAGAGCATTTATTATTATAAATAACTTCTATATTAATGATTTATTCAAAATTTTATTTTAAAAGCATAGAATTAATATTACATAATATATTTATTAAACATATATAAAAATTTGTTGCTATTTTATTTTGCAAAAATTTAAATATTTATTTATAATTTTATGTATGTATTTTCAATCTTAAATTTCAAAGATATCATAATTAACTTACATTCTATAATGTTTATGCCATGTTGTTGACCACACATCAAATGCTGAATTTTTCGCTTCACTTAATAATTTTAAAGAATACATAAAATTATCTTCTATTTCTTTTAAATTTTTTGTAATTTCAAACCCTTTCTGTCCACTAAAATTTGGAAGTGATATTTGTTTGCCATCTTGCCAACGACCAAACTGCATTTCACAATCACATACCTTAAAATATTTTGAAACAAATATTTACTAAACTTCACAGAATGCAATAAAACAAATTATTATTGAAATTCATATGAAAAGACACCAAAAATAAAAAGAAATATATTTATATTTTAAAATAAAAATTTTTATAAGGTTTTAAAAATATATTATCACATCCTTGTAATAAAGAATCAACAAGTGCAATACAAAATAAAATTTTTCTAACAGTTATCCAATATATGTGTTACTGTAAATGCTCGAATTATGGTAAATCCTAAGATCTTCCAGTAAAACCTAAGATTTACCAAATCTTTGTGGTAAAAGTCAGAAATGTTCTGCGATCAACATTAATTTAGAACTTTTATCAGCATTTACTCGGTATACCTTAGGTTTTACCTCGGAGACATGATAAATGTTAAAAAAATAGTCCCCGATTTTCACACTGCACCACGCTGTCACCTTTGCTCACTGCATCCTATCGTTTCACACGTTAGAACATGCACGTTAATTCTAATCTTGTTTGAGATTTCTCTGTCTAAAAGTTATTTATGTGTGTGAAACGGAGATTTTATGAAATAATGGATGAGCTCATTGCAAGCAAGAAAGATGATAACTTTTATCTCAATAGGGACAAATATGCAAGGTGTTTGGAGGAAGTAAAAGCTGTAAAGAACATGAAAAAGAAACAAGCTGTTCATTACAGGCGTATAAAGCATTATGACATTTTGACTATAGGTGGCGAAGCAAAACTAATTGCGCTTATGAAGGAGGAGGATGGAGAAATAAGATATTACATTTGTTACGAGGACTTATTCAACATTCTCGAAGAAATGCATGTTGCTGTTGGCCACGATGGAAGGACACGGATGCTTAAGGAATGTAACCACAAGTATCAAAATGTAACAGTTGAGGCTACTATGACATATTTGAAGCTATGTCAACCTTGCCAAAAAAAACAGAAGACTTTGAAAAAGAGCATTGTCATCATGAGTTCATTTCACTTCACAGTGAAATGAACTCATGCTGTCAGGTTGATCTAATAGATCTACAAACTACCCCAGATAAAAATTATAAATTTATTTTAGTCCAAATTTGTGATCCTTCGTGTGCTTCAAACTAAACACGCCGTAGAAGTTGCATACCATCTTTTGGATATTTTCACCACTTTTGGAGCGTCGCGCATCCTTCATTCCGATAATGGCCAAGAATTCTCTAACCAAGTTATTGAGAGTTTATGTTCCATGTGGCCGGATGTAAAAATCGTACATGGAAAGGCAAGACATAGCTAAAGTCAAGGATCAGTGGAACGTGCTAATCAAGACAGAAAATATGTTGAGCACGTGGGTGGAAACCAATCAGTTATCAAAGTGGACAGAGGGTTTAAGATTCATCCAGGCAATGAAAAATAGAGCATATCACGAGAGAATCAAATGTTCTCCCTATGAAGCAATGTTTGGTTGTCCAATGAAAATGGGTCTTGCAACTTCAGCAATCCCTAGTGATATGATTAGAGTTATAAGATCTGAAGAAGATTTAGTGAAGTTGTTGCATGTGCATGACAATACGGAACAAAATAATGATGTCGAAAATGCAATCAAACAAGATAATGAAAAAAGCATTGTTGAAAATGAGTCAGAAGGGGATATAGACAATAGCACTGTCAACAATAAAACACAAGAAGATGAAATGATTATTACTGAGAAGATGAAGGTAAAGCAAATAACCGATGATTCCAATGTAACGATTCAGAGACAGAAAACACGATTGAGTCTCAGGAAGTTCTTGTAACTATAGAGCCAATACCAAAAGAGATAGAATCTGTAGTCACTATAAGAAACAACACAAAATTGAGTTTGGAGAAACAAGCTGAAAAAATGAAAGCCACATCTGTTGATAAATATCCAAATGTGAAAATTGGCCAAAATGTAGACTGAAAGTGCCTGAAATTGACAAAGCTAAAACCAACCCAAAAAGCATTATTTGCAGTTGTGATAGATGTAAATGAGTTTTACCAACTAGGTACCAAAATTGGAGTACTAAAGCAGCTTTATACGCAAAATCAATTTAATCTCATGCCCTGAAGACTATCAAGATAAAAGTTGTTAAAGATAAAGAAATGAGTCTTCGAGAAGTTGTCGCAAAATTGTCTTTGACCGGAGGACAAGGTTTCAAGAAATGCAACCGCCTAAAAAAATGCGTAACAAAGAAAAGTGCTTGCAAGCCATCAGGATTACTTTGTAACTCTAAATGCCACGATAGCTCTCCATGTTGTAACGAGTAAAATCCTTTTTTTACTTTTATTAAATAACAATGAATACCAAATGATAAGAAAAAAATACTGTGATTACTGATTAGCTTAGCCAACGTAGGCTATTATATTATTTTTGACAAGATAATTTCATTTTTGTTATGTTAAAAAAAGTATTTTTAAACTGTTTCACTAGTTATTAATAAATAGGATTTAGTAAGTTGATTGTTTATAATAACTGCAATAAATGATTATTAAAATACTCATAGTTTTATTTCCAAAAGCAACATTTACTAATTGTCTTTAGTAAAACCTAGCATGTACCAAATTCTAATGCTAAGAGCCCGGAAAATCATCTCACTTTATAAAAATCCTTACATTTACCAACTCATATTGGTAAATCCAAAGATTTACAAGTAAAACCTAGGATTTACCAATATACGGGCTTTTACAGTAACATGTGCAACAAATCTCATATTCTAAAATCTCATTTTGAAACTTGTTTTCCATTTATCTGAAATATTTGAAAACTAGTGTTACAATATATAAATAATTTAAAATCTTATCATAATATATCAAAAACATTTTGATAATGTATAAAAAGTGAGTCTTATTATATCCTCTTCTATTTAAAAGAAAAATCATTTCTTCTTAATGCTATACTTAATATTGAAACTTAAACTTAAAATTTCAAACTTAAAATATTTTTCTGCTTATTACATTTTCCATCATCAGCATCAAAATTCAGAGCAGAATAAAATATAATTAATCAGTAAATTATAAACGTATAGTAAGAATTTATATAGTCAAATATCAGACAAAAATCTCATTATACAGGATGGGCCAAAAGTAGGTACACAGTTAGAAATCAGTCAGTATGTACTTGTTTATCTGTATTTTTTCATATAGTATGTAGACATAGATATAGAAAGATATAGAAAATTGTATTCAGTCCTTGTTTATGTATCTCAATCACATAGATGTCCTCCCTCACGTGTTGACTAATGTGTACCTACTTTTGGTCCTCTCTGCATTTTATCTTGCATCAAATATTGAAAGCTTTACAAACAACTTTTTCTCTGGTGTTTCATTGCTTACATAGAATCATGACTCAGTTTTGATGAGATATCTGTAAGGAGTTCCTTATTTCTTTCTGAGGATATATAATATTCTTCTTCTCTCTTTACTTTGGGTATATCTGTAAAGATAACAGAGAATGCTAAAAAATTATCCTATACCAGTTTCATTTCCAGGATTTTTTTTACTGAAATTGTGAGAAGTAGAGAGAAGTAAAAGACAGTGGGTGCAGATCTTTAGCCATCCTTTCATCTTTCCTACTTCCTTCTCTATCTGAAAACAATGAATTTTATTCACAAGTGGTCCATTAAATGTCTTTTTATGACTGTGGTTATAGTCTTCGTCAATATAGCCTAAATATTATAAGATGCAGACAGGACTATAAACTCAGAGCTGCTGATAACCATAATGATCCTAATGATCATTCCATTATCTGCATTTCTTCCAAGTTTTAAATGGATTCAAGATTTTCTTCTAAATAAGAATAGCAAATATTTTGATCATGACAAACTTTTAATATTTACTGCATGTACAGTATTTTGCCACAATTTCCTTCATCGCAGACAGGCCTGATCTACAATGAACTGACCAACATGGGCTAGAAAAAAATATCCTGATCTTTACTAATCATGACAAATTGAGAGGCCACATTGGGTTTGAATCTACATTCTACACAACAGTAGACTATCAACATTTAATTTAAAAAACCTAAATGTACTGGAACACAGCAATAATAGTTATATAAGTTAAAAATAAAAAAAAAACATTCACAATGTGCTAAACTACTGAAATATTTAAATTTTAAATTAATGAATTATAAATTAAATACAGTAAGACCTTGCTTAATGCGGGGATGCGTTCCTAGACAACAAAGCGCTAAGCGAAACAGCATTAAACGTGGTCATTTTAACATAGAGGAAATAGGGATAGGGAAACACATGACCAAATATAAACAAATTTTACTTTAATTTTAAGTTATTTTTATATTAATTTGCATAGTAATATATATTAAATAACACAAACATATGCACACAAAAATGTAAAGTTCATTTTTTGTGACAAAGGTCCTGGCTTTTCTGAAATTCTTGTTCTTTTCAATAAAGTCGTGAAGTTTCATTTGTCGCTTTTTTCTTTCCTTAAGAAAATGTTGGTAGCAGAAGATCGCATCCAAAATGCCTCATTTTGCTTTTGCACTCCTTTCAAAATCTGGATCATTTGCTACAATTTGATCAACAATTTCGGTTATCGTTACCAAACTTTTACTAAAGAAATATGTAGAGACATTTTTGGGTTCTTCATTTTCAGAATCTCTGTTTTCCAGTTCCATGTGAATTCCATGTTCTGCTAGTTTTCAAAGGTTATTGTTAGTAAGTCTCTCACCAGAAACCTGCGGTAACTCCTCAATATCCTGTTTGTCTATATCTCCTAGTCTTGCTATATCGATTAGGTTGAGTTTGGTCAACCTAATGATACAGCGATAGGCTCTTCTCATTGAGAATTCTTGGATACCTTCAGCCATAATTTCTTCCACACTTTGGTTATGCATTTATCAGTTAATTCTTGCCAAGCAAAGTTGATATTTCCTATGGCATCCATGATGTTATATTTTTTTCCAAAATTGCATCAATCAATCATTGATTTAAAGAAAGTACACCTTTTTGCCACGTTTTGCTGATTGGTTTGTGTTTGCAAATAATCGTATTATATATGAAACAGTGAAATGCTGTGATAATTTAATCAGCGTAAATTTTGAGCTTTTTTTAGGCTTGAAGCAGACCGCGTTATATCGAATCAGCGTTAAGTGGGGTCTTACTGTATATGTATAAATACATAATAAGCTATTACCTCAATAACATCTTTGCATCGTTGTATAAAAGCATCAATTGATGCAAAAACACCAACTTCATCTATATCCCAAGGAACAGATGAAAATTTCTTATGCATATTTGAAACCTAACAAAAAATTAAATAAATGAAACTATTTTTTTAAGAAAAATAGATAAATTTTATGTATAAATATTTTTAAAATATTTTGCTAAATAGATTTGCTTAAAAATAATATTTAAAAAATTAATCAAAGCAAGAATAAAACAAAAAAATTATCTGAAAATTAAAGTTTCTAATAACATTAAAAATTTGTTAATTTTTAACTTTTGACATATGAAATTGTTGTGTGTGTTATTTATTTTTACCTTTATTGTATGTAAATATTTTTTTTATTTATATAAATGTACTTATATAGTTAATCTTAGAGAGATTATCATAGTAAAATAACACTCAAATTTTTGTTGTTTATTGTTTGTTTCTAATTTTTGAATTCTAAAAAATTCTAGCTTATAAACTAGGATTTGTCAGAATTTAGAAATTTGTAATACAAATAATATTCAGCTTTGACTAATAAAATCTGCTGCACAAATTCAGACCATTCCCATTGGTCCGATAAATAAAGGATGAATAAACATTAAGTCAAACAGTCTACAATCGTTCAAAATCATCAACACTATCCAGTTGTTGTTGACACGTGGGAACATTGATGACTTAAACAATTCCATGATGAAAAGAGAACAACAAGTCTAATTCCCATCGTCCCAGCTAGCCAGCAATGACGTTTAAAGTGTCATCACTAGTCAACATAGAGTGACAAGACCAAATTCCCACACCGGATGAGTATATAACAGCTGCACTCCTGACCTTTGGGCAGACCATTTGAGGACAACAGACATAAACAATAGTAGTACCACCATAGTAGCCAATGGCCCTCCAGGATTCCAAGACTCTCATACCACCATATTCCATTCTCCGAGATAGCCATAGACCAAGACCCATTTGCCACTCTCCAAGCTGATTTACCTACATAGAAGACTCTGTGCTGGATGCTGACTTTACTTCAATTCATCCCAAAAACTCTCTCTCAGTCAACATAGACTTAAGTAGCTATCCGTTATACTAAATTTGACTTTGGTCCCAAATGATAACTGATATATTTTAGTCCTTAGCTCATTAAATTTTTATTATTTGTTAAATGAGTTGTGCATGGACTCACTTCAGAGAATGGTCAACCTATCAACAGACTCATCACACCTCCCCACTTGACAAATAGCCCTCCTATTTAACTCTAGATAACTAAACTTAATTTTTAGTTACATTATAACTACACATTCGTCGAGCGGACTACGCATTAAAAAACGTTAATATCAACAAAATTGTTTAATAAAAATAGCAACTTGTTACATGGCACAATAGTATGGTTAAATAGGAACTAAATAAGGGCAAAATATTTAGGAAATAAGATTACATGCAGTTGCTACATATGTTAACATTATGGGGGCTGCAAAATGCATTTTTGCATTTCATGCAACAGTGTTTTGTCATTCATCGAGCTTTCGCTGGACATAAATAGCATATTTTACACGGATTCAATGAAGAATTAGTAGGAGCTTCTATACTGGGCACATCACTTAGAATATCCTCTATCATGGTTATGATATCACGCCTCAAAGGCACTGTCTGTAACCGCTGTTGTAACCAGAGCTCCATGAGTTTGTCTCCCATCTTAATAAAGAAATTCCCACTGGAACATCAGTTTTTTTGTTTCTAACATTATTAGAGACATAGATAGATTAACTGTTGATTGCCAATAGGTTTAGCATATTATAAAACATGCATAGTGGCCACTTTTTGGGTTTGACTCATATTTGAACACATTTGATGTACTGTGTCTACCGCACCCTTTGTACTATTATAAAAATGTATTATTTGTGGTTTTCCTGCATTTTCATCGAAGTTAAGTTGACCACGAATAGTCGACAAAACATAAACAACTTTATTTGACTTGACTTTGTACAAAACTAATGTCTTATTGCCGTTGTAACAAAATATTGAAGTACTAACAGCGTATGATTTAGAATTTTTTAATTTTTCAGGAATTTCTCTTTTGTTACTTCTAAGAGTGCCAACTAAGATCAAATTCTAAGGTGACTTCATTAGTTCATCCACCAAAGATACAGATGTGAACCTGTTATCCATAGTAATGTTACAGTTTGTTTCAAGTAAAATAGATGTTATTTCATTTATGAAAAACATAGCCAATATTTGTTTCTGAGGATCAGTACCTTTTCCAAAATAGGGAAAGGCATTTATCATGTACTAACTGTTTACATCTGCAGCCATGACAATGTACATAATGTACATGCCTTTGAAACAAAGTTACATAGTACAAAATGACTTCTAATTACTTAACACTGCATTGAGTAATAACAATCCACAAAACCTTTTTATAAGTGTTGTCTCCATAACAAACTGAACCACCTAAAGCAGACCTCGGTGGAGGTCGAAATTGTTCGTGAAGTTTGTTACAGAGACAACACTGTTATAAAAAGGTTTCGTGGATTGTTAGTTACATAGTAACTAAACTTTCATCGAGCGGACTACGGGATGGCGGTAAGTCAATTTCTAATTGATGTGTGAACACAATTACATCACACACTGCACTGTTTATTCAAATTATTAAGGTAGAAAAAGAATGACGGCAGGAAGCACGGGAAAGTTTCTGAATTTCACTTTTGAGCAGACATACATCGTCGTGTGGACGAATGATTAGTTATCTAGGGTTAAAAGCCATCCAGTGACAATGTGAGTGAGCCTTACTGACTCATTACTGATCTAAAGAAAGGGGCTAGAAGCTATGGAGATATTTAAGGCAGGAAGAAATGGTATGTGTATTAATTATAAGGAGAAAATGGTTACCCAGCAAAATCTGTAGCATGGCAGATTTTGCTGGGTAACAGCATTTAAAGAGATGATTATTGAGCATGTGCAATACAACTACGGAACAATTTCACATGATAGTGTTTGGAAGAAATTCATATCGAATGTTTATTTGAACAGTAACAGCCTATTTGTTAAAGCCTGAAGAAGAGCCCAGGAGGGGTGACGAAAACATTCATGATTCTAAAAATAGAAGCACTCTGGTTAAAAGGTTTGAAGAGTATTTTATTTTCATAAAGGAAGGGGTTTGTTTAAACCAGTATAATTGACCCCCAGGCTTCTCACACTTCTGTAGCTTTAGTTTATTATTTATAAGAAAAACAACAGAAGTAAATAAAATATTTTTGTTAAATTAGATTACTTTACTATAAGATAAACAAACCGATCAAAACAAATCATCTATTTCCTTTTAGAAAAGTCCAAAAGAAAAGACTGTGAATGGAGACAGCAAACTAGTGATTTTAAGACAAGATTTTCTACATGCTAAATGCTCACAATTCAGCTAAAATTCTTTTATGTATTTAAAATTAAAAAACAAATCATAAATATATATCAATTTAATAAAATTTTAAATTTTATATAAAATATTTACATTTAAATAAATGTCTTTATACTTCTCACAACAGTCCATACTTTCTAATACAGCCATCTTAGTTGATATGGCATACATTTTAAAAAGTCTCTCTAGGTTTATCTCTTGACTACATCTCCTGATCAATTCATTATTAAGCTATTTTAAATAAAAACATTTTCAAAAAATATTTATAACTAGTTACTAAAATATTTAATTATAAAAATTAAAATAAATATTTAATATTAATTCTAGTTCAAATGTAATACAATTATTAATTTTCAATGTATAAAATCAATATATCATACTAGACATCAACTNAATGTAATACAATTATTAATTTTCAATGTATAAAATCAATATATCATACTAGACATCAACTTAAAATCACTTCTAGAAAAAACTAATTATTAAATACAGAAAATATTAGGGATAAACTTAAGTAGTAATAGCTGTAGTTCCTCCAATGCTAAATAGCATACTGGGCAGCAATTATCCTCCATCAATTTCGATCACGGGTGAGGGCTTCAGCTTCCTCCAAAGTTATGTTGAACATCTTCAAATCTTGAAGAAAAGTTCTATGCGAAGTATTCCTGGGGTGTCCTCGTGGTCATTTGGCACCAGGAGGAACCCATTTCATGGCTCCTATTGTTCTCCATACAAAAAATGTGGCCAGTCAGTCAGACTCTTCTATGGGCAACAATGTTATGAAGTTTGCACATACCACTCCTTTGGAGAACCTCTTCATTGGTGATATGATCTAAATATCATCTCTTTAGGATTTGTTTTAGGCAACTCTGTTGGAAGACATCGAGCCTTCTATTGATGTTTCCCGATGTCAACCAGGACTCACTAGCATAAACAGCTTTCAGAGTCATGATGAAGGTGAACAGATGGAATTTGGTTCTCAATGAGATGAATGGTGAGATCCAGATTTTGTTCATCCACTAGAAAAGTCTTTACCATTGATAAGTCTTTGGATGTGTTCTCGAATCTCCATGTTTGCAAACAGATTGTCATATTGACTGTCGCTGCTTTTCCAATATGGCACTTCATGTCCATTTCTGCATCACTATTTTGGGAAATAACACTACCCAAGTAGGTAAATCTCTCCACCTTCTCCAATCATTGTGCTGCGACAATCACTTCTGCGTTTGGGCAGTGTCACATACATGCACAATTTTCTACTTCAAATTAATAAACTTACTATTAACTTAAATTTAGGAATGCGGTCAAAATTTATTTGTGGACAGCTGTTAAAGAGCATGGATGAATTTACATTAAAAAATTTTACAGATGGAAAACTGTCTTTAAGGTCAAAAGTAAACCCACTAACAGAAACAACACTGCTTTTTGGAAATCCTTACAAGATTCCAAATCACAGATGAAGGCTAACATCATCACCACTCTGAAGGCTGACAAGTCTGAAAATATCGTGCTTCAACCCCACTTGCTGTCTTGTTGGTACGGTGAATACAAGACAGCAAGTGGGGTTGAAGTGTTCAATGCCTGGTCCATTTTAAATGTCTTGCATCAGAAACTTACGCAAAAGGAAATCATGAAAATGGAGAAATGTAAATGGAAGCGAGTGTCATTTTCTAAAACTTACTGGGTTGATACAGGATACATAAAGAATATGACAATCTGTTTGCAAACATGGAGATTTGAGAACACATCCAAAGACTTATCAATGGTAAAGAGGTTGAAATAAAAACTTTCAAATCAGTGACAGTTGAAGACAATGATGTTGAAGGATGTGATGGAGTTAAAAAACCTAACTCCGTCCACTAGTAAGGCTGATTTGTTTCTACTATATAATTTTTAGCTGATAATGATTACTTTAATAGTTCAGTGAAACACAAAGATTCTAATCCAAAGAAAAGTGATAAGTATAGTATTGTAAGGAACCAAAGTCCGAGCGTTATTTTTATTTACTTTTATTTTGCTTATTATTCTATTTTTGCTTGGGGCTTATTTTTTTTGTTAGGACGAAGGTTTCCTCACCATTCACCTTAGTAACTTAAAAATAGAAGAAAAACCAACTCACCGACGAAAGAAAAGCGCCGTAGAAAAACTCGTGCACACTTGCGCTTTCCGAGCGGAAAAAAGTAAGTCCACACCGAGGAAAAGGGGGGGGGGAAGACCCCACAACCCAGTTAGGAATCGCTAAACCTTAAAAGAATAAAGCATCCCGATAATTGTTAAAAAGAATAATGTAAAAGGTTAGCGAAGTATTGTCGGAAAATAATCTGCCAGATAAACGAGAAAAAATTTAATGTTACAGATAAGATGTAAATGAGGAGAGTGATCTCATTCAGAACTGTGACGTCACCTCACACTATAAAGCCTCTAACTCAAGTGAAAACGAACGAGGTGAACTCCTGGTAGCAACGAGCTTTGGTGAGCTTCGTAGCAGTGAACATAAGTTAGAAATAGATTGATTTGAGTTTGTCGGGTTGATTCTTATTGAATTTCATTGAATAAATTATTGTTTGATTTTTACTAAATACTGTATATAGTTTATTACTAGAAGTTTAATTAAATATTTGATTTTTGTTATTGACAAACTTTGTCATTGTTTAATTCGGTGCACGCTTAAAGTCCAGGCCTGGCACACTAACGCGAATCCGCGTAAAGTACCCGTTAGGGAACGGCTATTTCCGGCATGCAGTAGTGTCAATAATCGTTGGAAAAGTCGGAAAAATAATATAGTACTTTACAGTATTTTGAGTGTACCTAATTTGGAAATGAAAACAAAACTTATTAATCATTGCTATAATGCAAACTTGTAGCAAAAAAAATATTGTCTTGACAAGAATTATATTGGTGACTATCAAAAAACCAAACTGGAGAACACACTTCTCATACCAGAACTAAGAACCAACCTACTGTCAGTTGGAATAATAACTGATCATGGATTCAGTGTACTATTCCAGAAGAACCAAACAGCAGTTATAGACCCAGGAATGGAAAATTAAATATCGAAGACTAGAATTACAGGAAATAAAAGGAAAATAGAATTACGAAGCCTACAAAAAAAAATGGCCAGTCAACTAGCTATACAAATAGAACCACTGTGTAAAGAAAACTTCAATACATGGAAAATACAGATAAAGGCACGCCTGATCAAAAATGATTCATGGGAATACATCAGTGGAGAAAGAAAGAAACCAGAAATTATACTTGGAGATGAAAGTACAAAGATGGCAGCAGAACAATGGGACATAGCAGACTTGAAGGCAATGTGTGATATAATTCTCGCCATAAGTCCAGCAAAATTAAAACAGACAAAACGATGTGAAACCTCACATGAAATATGGAATAAACTACATGAAATTTTTGAATCAAAAGAACCTGCAAGAAAGGCCATACTACTAAAGAAATTAATTCTCAAGAAAATGAGGGAAGGAGACAACATGGCAGATCACGTAAGAGACTTTTTTGACATAGTAAATAAGTTGAAAGAAATAGAAATCTCCATAAACAAAGAACTATTAACCATAATATTGCTATATAGTGTACCGGACTCATTCAAACAATTTCAAGAAACACAAGAGAAACTTTTTTCGCCGGACACACTCAAAATAAAGCTAATAGAAGAGTATGAGGTGAGAAGACGAAATGATGATACCAATGACTCAAAGAATTCAGGTATATATAAGCAAACAATGGACGAAACAATTGGAAAATAAGAGACCATTCAAATTTAAATGCCATAACTCTGGAAAAATAGGTCATAAGGCTATAGAAAGCTGGTACAGAAATAAGCAAAAACCACATAGAGTTATAACAAAAAGCCTAACAACACAAAACAGGAGTCATATAATGCTAATATTATGGCAAATGAAGGGAAAGAAAGCATTAAATGGTGTCTAGACTCAGGTGCTTCATCACACATGTGCAATGATAAAGCAAGATTTTCTAATGTCAAAACATACTGCATAAGTGAATTAAACTTATCCAACTCATCAATATCATACAATGGAAATCAAAGAAAGTGGTGATGTAATAATTGAAACAAAGAGAGAATGCTTTTGAGCAGAGGCTGTATATACTGCATCATATATTAGAAATAAATGTCCATCAAAGAGCCTGGAAGGTGACATATCCTTCAAATTATGTACAGGTAGAATGCCAACAATCAAATATTTTAGGACATTCGGTCAAATGGCATTCACATTAAAAAGACCAGGAAAAGGAAAATTCAATGAGAAATCCACCAAATGCATATTTATAGGCTACTCTAGTGAAACAAAAGCATATTGTCTATGGAACACAAAGACAAAAAGAGTTACAACGAGCAGAGTTGTGCACCAAGTTATCAATGAGTGAAGAAGTGTATATATGGAATTAGATTAAAATAAAGTTTAATTATAAGTTAAAGGACTGCCTCATCATTGTTCTCACAACACTCACTGTCTGTGACTTCCAATCTCTATATCCATCCATATGTATTGAACTGTGCTTCTGCTCCCTTCGTAATTTCCTCTTTTCACATATACAGGACTTGGACAAACACCACCAAAACATTTTGGAATTGATTGATCTACTCTGCCATTCATTTTTTTTCTCCTTCAATGGAGACATGTTCCTACAAAGTAAGGGTGTCCCTATGGGCAGCCTCATATCAGGCACTTTATGAAAATTAGTCATGTGCCACCTAGAGAAAGCTTTCACCAACCACATTCTCCTATATGCAAGATATGTTGATGATACTCATAATCTGGCAGAATAAATCCTATATCCTAGAATTCCTGCAAGAAATCAAACACAACCCCTATGCCTTTTACTCCATTCTGAACAGGATAATGCTCATACTGTTCATTTCCTGGACCTCCAGATCTCAACCATTGGACTCATATCCACTCAGGTTTACAGAAAACCTACCCTCTGCCCAATCTTCATTCCCGTCTCTTCCCACAATCCATTCACCTTCAAGATGGCCAGTTCCAGAGCCTTCACCCATTCATCAGGAATAGCTACTCTCCACATATTATTCAAGATCTTATTTGTCATCTTTCCTACACCACTTCTGCCCCACAAATAAAACGCACCCAGGATACAAATTATAGGACTGTCACTTACAACAAGAAGCTAGCCACACTGTACAAAGAAATATCCAGAAGAAATAACTTTCGATTAGCTTTCCATAGAAGTCCCTCAATTTCCTCCCTCCTTTGCAACACTAAAGACCATTCGGACATGCACCACCAACCAGGCATCTACACTATCCCCATCATCAATCATAGGTCTAGTCGCCCTTAGAACACATAGAAGCTACAACTCACCCTTTAAATACCTGCCTCAAAGAGCATCAGAAGTCAATCATGAAAAGATTGGCCAACACAGCATAAGCTATCTACACCTCCAACCCAGACATCAAAGTGGAATTCCACAAAATACGCCTCTTACATAACTCTTCCAGGCAACCCTTCCTCAAGCGTCCAGAGCAGATTAAAATATACAAGGCTACTCGCAATAACATAGCTGTAAACTTTCATGATGTTGAAGCCTTCTCCATAGCATGGACGTCTTTCTACGAAATATAAATCTCACTATCCTTCCCCTCCCCAATCTCTCATCTTATGTGAGGCTCTGGAAGTGGACCAGAACCAGACAAATAAATAAATTTTGTTTTCTTGTATATAGAAAAAAAAAATATTTTATAAAACTGCTAAAAAAGGAAGGGCAGAAATTTCATGTCCATAAAAGGACACGTTTAAAGGAGTGTTAGAAAAAGTGTATTTCTCATATTATAACAATAAAAGAATGTAAGTCCTAAGATCAACCATGTTCAATTGGGATTGAATTGATAGATGATTTTGACTCATCCCATGATCTACGTTCTGATCTCATTACATTTTGTAACAAACAATGACCAATTGGAAAGCAAAGATGAGTAGAAACAACCAATCAAATTGGTCAATCAGGGACCCAAAAAAAGTTATAAAAACCAGAATTTGAAGGAAATGGAGAGCAGGTCAAATAGCTTCAAAACTCCTTGACCTGTCTTTACTATTGTGAACATCCTTCTGAAAAGAAAAAAAAGGGAATTTTGACGTCATAGTCCATACTTCACAGTCTCGCTATCCTTTGCTCCAACTGCTGATCACTGACTGGCAATACTCTGGAGCCATCAACTTCTACGAAAACCAGGAGACAAAATCCATACACCATTGGAAGCTTATATATATATAGTTCTAAGCATCTTTGTACAGCACAATAAACTGGGTTAATTGTTTGTAACTAGAGAGTTGTCTGTATCAACATTCCCACAAACAAATCAGCACTGCTTGAATATCCTTGCCATTATGTGAGGATTGGCAACCTCACACTTATGTCATACATCACTTCCCCCTGCACACATGTTCGGCAATTCCCTATTTGTCTCAGAATTTGTTTGCCTGATGATGCAGTTCAACATGGGCGAAAACATTTGTACTTGTTATAAAAATTGCTGGTATAGGTTTTGTTGTTTGTTTTAAATTTTTAGTTTAAGACTTCGGATTTAAGGTTTTTATTTGTTAGTATATGAGAAATTCAGAAGAAAGCTAATTTTGCTTTGCACATTCAACTTTTGATTTCAAAATTGTACCTATTATCTTCAGTAATTCAGCTTCCAAGATATTTGAAATTCTTCATTCCTACCAACTCTTTGGACCACAAAGTGATTTGTGAATCAATTTCAGCATTTGTCTCCCTATAAATCCTCTAAACTTTTGTCTTCTTACTATTTATTTTCATATAGTATTTTTCTATGCCAATTTTATTCATACTGTTGAGTATATTCTGCAGCCTTCTTTGTGTCATTCAATAAAACTGTACCATCAGTATGTCTTATGTTATTAATTAGACATTCATTAATTTTTACTCCATCTTCCACATCCTCAAGTGCCTCTCTCATCATCTATTTGCTGGATAGGTTAAATAGTAATGGTGACAGACCACATCCTTGTCTTACTCCTTTTGTCACTAGAATCCAATTGGATTCCTCCCTCTCTATCCTGACTATTGTTCTTTGAATTTCATATATTTGGCCAATAATATTTATTAACTCGCTATCTGTTGAATATATCACTGTTGCAAGTTATGTGTTCACAGATAGTGAATAGAATACCTTACAAGTAAGTTTAAAAAAAATCATACATGACTACTTTGATCCATTTCAAGTCATACCGAACCAAAAAGTGGCTTGATAAAAGATGCCACGTCGTGGCCGTTTATTTATTATAAAAAATAATACAATGGTTATATGATACGAAGCGTTGCTACACAATACAAATACAAAAGTTTATATAACACAAATCATTGCTACACACATAGTATTAAATTTCTCTCCTGTTATTACCTATCTATTTATATGATGCCTAATATTTTAAACAACACCTTGTGGTTGACATTATCAAATGCCTTTTTGTAGTTGACAAAGCATAGTTATAAGTTTTTATTCTTTTCAATCATACTTCTAATTCTGAATTATTCAGGCTATATTTTGGCTAACTATTAATCTATACTAATATTATAAAGAGGTAAAGTTTGTAAGTTTGGATGTAGGAGGTAATCTCCAAAACTACTCATCCAATTTCAAAAATTCTTTCACCAATATTTAGAATGGAACTTCAGGGTGGACATAGGCTATATATTATCCTATTAAACATTCATATAAATTAAAAGATATCATCTAGGATTAAGGCTTTTATGTCCAACAGATGGCACTAACTCTGCGAGTACGACAACCTAAGTTTACTTTTCTGTTAGGATAAACTAAAGCAGATCATCTTCTATCTATCTACTATATGTAAATAAAAATGTAACGTTCATTTGTTCCTACCGATTCCTTTGAAATTTTGACATAACATTGCATTCGAATACGAACGTGTTTTTATATAATATACGAGTCAAAATTCCCCCCCACTGGGGTGGAGATGGACAGGATTAAGGCTTACCGTGAAGAACTCTGCTTCTATTTATACTATTTTATATGCGGATTTTTGCATTTTTGATTGTGTTTTAATAGGGTACGTCAAGAGAATGTACACTAAGAAGGGATTTTTCGAAATTCCCCTCACAGGGGAAGTGTTATACATTTATAAGAGATACACTTTGAGCCACAACAACACATGGCGGGGTCTGCTAGTAAATTATAAAAAAATAATTTAATCTAATGTTAGACAATCAAATTATTGGCCTGAAGCATGACTCAAACCCACAACTCCCGCTTACCATGTGGACGCATTGCCAGTTATACTAATCAGACCTTCGGTTCGATCTCTTCTTCGATTATATAAGTTTAAGATATAAAACCATTGTCAGTTAATACAATTTATTTATTTGGAATATGGCTACACATCTAATTAATAAAACGGACAGAAAGCAGAAAAAAGAACACAAATCATAAATGTAAATCTAAGTTAGAAATATAGTTTAAAGCACTGTCAGTCACAATCAGGAAGTCACTCTGTTGTCCTGGAAGAGATCTTCCAAGATATGATTTATAGTCTATCTTTCAGCACCACAGTCACACTGTGGGGGTTAATACAATGCTAACTGGGGATGCATTCACGCTCTTGTCCAGAAACATCCACTCAAGGCACTCAGTTGTGGTTTGAGTCCCACCTCAGGCCAATTCTTTTCTTCCAGTTTAATTTAGATTAAACTATCTTTTACTAATATTAATAATTACAATAATTTTTTAATTCAATTTAGTAATTATAAAATGTAATTAAAAAAAAAATTATAACAATTCTACATCAGACAAGATTTTACCATGAGTATTAATATTTACATAATTAATGTTTACAAATAAGAATTTAAGTAAAACGATATTTTTAATTTCAAAATAAATCAACAACTTACTTTTCTAAATAAACAGGTAATTTTAACAGTATCATTATTATATTGAGGATTATGAATCCAAATTATTCTAATAAGATTGAAAATATGTTGTAACTGTTCAGGTATTTCTGGCAAAGATGAATTAGCTATTTCTTCACATGGTTCTTTCAGAAGTGATAGATATCTTAAATTATTAAATGCTTCATTTGATCTTGTCTAGAAAATTATTATTAGTAGCAATTAAAATTAGAATTTTTTCTATTTAAAAATATTCAGATTAGTTTCTAATTTATGTATTTCACTAATCATACATTTATAATTAAAAATATGAAAATTTTTTATTTCTATATACAGTCGACCCCCCTATAACGTACGTTCCTATAACAACAATTCCTATAACGTAGCGAAAAAATTGTAGAAACTTTCGTATAATGTACCTCCTATAACGTCGTTTCACGAGAAGATTGATAGAGTCTGGACCAATAGTGGATGAGCAGCCGAACTACTTACCTCCGACCCTGCGCCACGCTACGGAGCGGCTAAATTGAGTTTGCTATCGTCTGTTTAGTATTATATATAAATTATATATAAATTAGGTACTGTACATATAATTATATATTAATTATATATAAATTAGGTACTGTATATATAATTATATATTAACTTAATTTATTGTAACTTTATTATAATTATATATATGCTTTCTGCCGCCTGGCAACACGCTACAGAGGTTTTAGGCTAGTAAGTTGAGTTTATTATCGTCTG